GTGGACTGATATTTTTCAAATGTCTAAAGGGGGTATGGTTAAGACGTTTCAATATACTGGTACCATACATATTAAATGCATTTTCTGAGAATTTACATTTAGATTTCTCTGGAGTTGGAAGGGGTGTGTCGATTTTGCCTTCTCACATACATTTCTGTTTCATATCGCATGTCAGACAGCCATCATTTCTACCAAAGAAATAAATGACAAAAATAGTAACGCACAGTAAATTGGATAAGTCACTTTAATCTGGGTTGGAAATAGTAACGCGTTAGATTACTTGTTACTGAAAAAAAGTGTTCAGAGGAATACGTTACCGGCATCAATTGTATATTTATGTACATAGGCCTATGTTTGTTTAGTTTAATTGGGTTGGGGTGCCGTGGAAAAAATAAAACTACAAAGGGATGCCCTGCTTTCAAAAAGTTTGGGAACCACTGGTATAACCAAATAAATACTATAGTTAGATTTTTTTTTTTTTTTTGGGCGAAACTATGGTTAATTTGTGGTCATTCCAAACACTAACATCGCAATTTCTTTCTGCATATCGTCCGCCATGCTTATTCTGAAGTCTCGTGAGATTTTGCGAGATTTCCTGTATTCACATTCTAGATGGTTGAAAATCTTTTCGTGTGCTCTGCTGTCTTTGTCACATCATGGCACACCACACACTATACGATTAAATCTAAGATTTTTCTCCTCATGTGTTTGGTAAATTAGTAAATTAGTTGGCAAGTAAGTTAGTGTAATATAAATTTTTCTCTTGAAACTAATATATATATATATTTGTTTGTGTGTTCTTTAAAATATAAATGTGTTAAAGAAACTGCAAGATGCATCATCTCCTATACAAATGGGTCAGTGGGACGTGTGCAGAAGGACATAATGTTCTGTTTTTCTCAAAAATAGATAAGCTTGCTTGCAGTTGTTTTTGAAATGACATATCTATTTATACCCACATGTAAAAACATATAAGAAGTGTTAGAATACGTGTGGGTATACATAGATGAGAAGTGTTAGAATATGGGGAACTGAGAACTGTGTTCGTGCAAGGGGGGGGGGGGGGGGGGGGGGTTGGGTTAGTAAAAGATCTTCTACGAAGATAAGAAGAGGAGGGGTACTTTTTGGAGGATGTTCTGTCTGATATTTGATGTGAGCAGTTTCATGTCTTTCTCCCGATAGTTCCTACACTTCCTGAAGTCAACATAAACGATTCAGACCTGCTTTCACTCCCCATTTGAATGACTTAGTCCTTTTTAAACACTTTTCATGACCATGTTATGTTTTAATATCAATAGTAATTTATGGTACGGCAAAAATAATAATTTACATTGTACGTATCTGAACTAGCAGCACTATGCCTGTAAAGTCAAGTTTCAGTTCAGTTCAGTTCAGTCAACTTTATTAATCCCACAAGGGGCAATTCATTTAGAGCAGCATGAATGAATACATATAACAATCAGACACAATATTCACAACATACTGTCAGTCAGTTATGTGCACATTTTAAAAAACCT